CTCTTTCCCTCTGAGAGCATTAGAGGGAAAAATCACAACACGGAGGATTGACATGAAGCAGCATGTTTTAAAAAAGCTAAAATCCTGTTGCTCAGCTGCACCTGTGCATATTAGATCACTTCTACAACCTGTTGGATCTGCATCTAAACAGGCTACGCTCCGAGCTGAATGCCTGATTGTTCACATGTTATAATTACGTTTGCTTTTGGGCTTTTAGTAGACTGCAGGCCTGGGTCAATCTGCAGATGCTTTAATGGTGACTGACATAATTAACTCCAGAATGAACAGCTCTCTAATTATGGCCTTCATGCTGCTCTCAGTCTTTAGCATCATGCTCAACGGTTGTAAGGGGGCAAATGCTGCTGTCTTCCAAACACGCGGATGAACAACTATGCATGTACACACATTCAGCTCGAGGGCTCAGAGCACTCAGCTGTTCTGTGCAGGCATCACAGTCTCATGGCGGGGATTATCCAACATAACAACACACTCTGGCCCCCCTCTGACTGGTGCCTATCATCTGATTAATTAATAGCCGTTCCAGATGTCCCATTGACAGTGTTGTCATTTGGTATGTGAGAGGGCTAAAGCCAAGAATGTATTTTAGACTGAACCTGTGAAGCCCACATGCACTGCAGCAGCAAACGTCAGGAAAGCAATCCAGACCAAAAATGAAGTAATGTCTAAAACCAAGCAGCGGCGGTGGCAGCGTTACCTACTAACAGATCAATCCATCATTCAGACTCTGCCTCCATTCATTTTGAATTCATGACTGTAAAATAATTGCAAATTTATCCAGTCTGGCAGATTGTTACAAGGCTTTGGAGCACACAAAACTAAATGCCACGTTTCTAAATTTGGACTGAGTGGGGGTGTTTGGGTGTGGGGGTGGGGTTCATTCATTAACCTTGAGTGTAGGTATTGAACATCACAGCGAGGATCTAGAACAGATAAGAGGAGGGTTATTTAGCATACAAAGGCAAATGCACCAGTGACACAGATTGGATGTTCACTTGGGAGAGTCAGTGAGCATTAGATGGGCAAGATTGGTAAAGCAAAGGTCACAGCTTACCTCTGTTGTCAACAGAGAAAACAACCTGCAAATGCAACATGTCTGCACTATCAATTACCCAAAGAGACATTGATACATTGTATATATCTCCGTATTAGTTTAGTGCAACACTTAAACACATTGTTATGTCACAAACACAAATTGCATTATTTTTACAGGATTTGTTGTGATAGAACAACATTATTTTTGTCAAATAGCTTTTATTTATTTATTTCTGTCGTGATCTTTTGGTGCTGATGACTGGCCTGATTACTCATCTCATTCACCTGCCTTGCTCTGGCCAGTTCTAATTACCATTCATCTGATCCACCTGCTTCAGTCTCTATTTAACCTAACTACTTCCAGTCATCTGTGCCAGATTATGCAAGCCTTTTGTGAGAGTTCTCTAGCGTTGTTTCTGATTGCCTGATCCTGACCCGTTCTGCCTCTGGACCTCTGAGCCTACCTCTCCCCGTTCTGATCTGTTTGCCTGACTCCTACTGGATTTCTGCCTGTGTACCGAACCTGGAACTGATTTGAGACACCGTCCTGGATTTTCCTTCGGTTCCGCTTTGGATCGCTGATCTTCTGGCTTTGACTACTTAGCACATCCTTGACACTGGCTTTGGCTTCACCCCCTGGTTTATCCTGCCTTCCTTCGTCTGCTCGGTTCTGATCTCCTGCCTGTTCTCCGACCTCCAGGGCAGCCGAACAGCTGGAACCAACCTTGCCCTCTGGGCACAGACTGAATTTTAGGAAAAGGTTAGTGACTCACAAACTCATCATCCTCCGCCAGACAGGCGTGGTCACAAACCTGTGTTCTCCTCCTGTAGAGGTTACGGCCTTAGATACTGTAATGAGACATAGCTTTTATTTTGAAGGTTTCAGGTCAATACTATTATTATACGTCACACGCTCTGCTTGTTAGTTAGTTACTTAGTTAGTTAGTTAGTTAGTTAGTTAGTTAGTTAGCTAGTTAGGGCCAAGATTCAGTTTAGTAACACATAATCTGTAACGTGTTAACCTCCTTCAGTCAAGTATTTAAAACTACACTCTCTGTCCGACCATTTCGTGACAGATGCCGCCACTGTTTTCTACCGCTACGTCTTAAATAAAAATATTTTGTTAATCCTTACTGTCTCTCTGTCTCGAATACTGGGTCATCTTTTTCTGAGCCTGACAATTTTTAAAAATAACAGTGTGGTGAGCAGCCCTTTTATGAAAGCACCACTAAATAAAATCCTGTGCAACCAACTGCCCTTTAGAGGTGACCTATTGAGTAGACACTGTCCATCTGTGTGTAATTTAATCTCAGTATAGATGCAGGTGTTCTTTGGAGGCCTCAGAGGTTTGTTGGAGAACAATAGAAGACAAACGGTTTGACGAAGTCTAAGAAAAACAACAGACAGCTCAAGGGTAAAGAGAGAGAGAAGGGAGCACCATTCAGTTCTTCATTCAAACAAAAAAGAGCCAATAATTGCAAAATAATATGTGTAGATGAAAACTATCATTCTGAAGACAACATCCCCTGATGAAACAATGCGGTTGAAGCATAGTGCTCTGGAGATAATTTCTTCAACAGAGGCAGAGAACCTTGTCAGGGTTGATGAGGACAAAGGATGGAGATACAGACAAGAAATGTAATGACATCAAACCTTACAAAAGCTGCAAAAGAGTTTAGGTTGAATTGGAGATTCACCATTCCACAGGGAAAGGTTAGATAATAGACTATATGACGTTTGAATGGCTCAGTTAAAGCACAGATCTAAATATAAATGAGAAATAGCAGAAAGAGTAGAATTTTTTAACACACAGGCACTCCATCCAACTTAACTAAAATTTGAGTAAATGTTTAAATAAGAATGGACTAATAATTCAGCTAATGTTTACATATATACACCTTTAAAGATTTTATTCGGATTGTTTTTAAAACATATTTTTATTTAACATGGAAAGTTATTTTTTAAAAGAACTTAAATTTTTCCCTCACTCTCACACTGTGTTGATCTATTGAATAACATTTCTCGAAAACCATGCTGTGGTTTTAAGATATAAAGACGTACAGTTAAACTTCCTATAAAATGCATCATTTAGCTTTTCACTTTAAAGAAAAAACAGACATGGTTACATCTGCAAATCTGCTTAAAAACTAAGCAATGTTAGTGAGGGTAGAGGGCTTTGGGATGAGCAACGATTCAGCAGGAACGAAAAGGACAGATGAATTGTTTTAGGGCTTATCCTCCTCCTGGGATCAACAATAGAAATCTAAACTATAACAATGGAACTCATAGTCAAGGTCAGCATTTACACAATCACTATTGACTCATTCTGCCCAAAGCATTTATCCATATAAGCATCCATGTTTAATTATTCATTTCAGGGCAAATGTCCAGAGCTCCAATATTTAGTGGTTGTACTTATTCCATCTTTGATCATTCCTGAGGTGGCTTTTTGCCCTGCATGACTAATTCGATGATATTATGTTCCTCTGTGGACTGAAATACCTAAACAGCAGCCCTTAAAAGGCACAGAGAAATGTTGTATTTTTTATATTTCGTCTTGGTTTTTTGTTTTTTTTACACAAATTTGCAGTTAACTGTTCCAAATGCCAAAAGCGATTTATTGCATAATTTGATGAATAGGACAAATCCAAGGGACAGATGTGTCCTTTTTGAAAAGACATATGATCCTTTCATCTGCTTAGCGCTGCAAAAATGAAGTTATGTAATAAGTAAAAAAATGCATCTAAAATGATGTCAAAATGTTTGATAAAATGAAGTTCAAAAAAATCTAATTTACTGATTATCTAAAGAACGGAATGATTCCATAATTTTTATTATTATTTACAATAAATGAACTGAAGCCCAGTAAAATTAGTAAACAAAAAAAAAGCAAAGTAGCCTATAGGTTTCAGCTCCTGTTTCATAAGAATGCATCAAAATCTGCAAAATGTGCAGAAACTCTATGATCTGGGAACACTCAGTTATTACAACGCTGTCCTGTGAAACAGAGCTGGACATACACATCAGAAAATTAATCCCGACAGCTCTGTATCACTCTGCTTTGACCTACGGGCTTCAATAACACCCCACTGCGCCCTCTTGTGGGTAAAAGTGGCACGTGCAAGTTACTTCTTTGTCACTGATTTTAAAAAGTGAAGCAATTGCATTCATTACACATAGAGTTAAATATTCCAAACCTTTTGTATCCAGGTTAATCACCCTTGTAAGATCAGAAATAAAGAATTCCTAAGAAAGAGTTCAATTTTAAATAACCATACTCTTTGATAATCAGAATTTAAAAATAATGAGGTTTTAGAAAAATCCACTTTATTTGTAACTGACCTGTTTAATATTTTTGTTTCACCCTTTAAAATGGGTGACAAATATATAATTTATTGAACATTTTAAGATGTAAAATATACTGCCTTAAATAAACCTCTCCTATAGTTTATCTACTAAAAATAAATTGATGCTGATACAAAAAAATGCATTTCCTGTTGATGACGTTGAGAGCTGCGCATAGATAATTGATTCTAGATTAAGAACTGGACATACCTACTTGAATGAGTTTCTGTTTGTACTAGGGAAGAGAAATAATGATATATGTGAGGGTTGTGAAAAAAAAGAAAATGTGGGTCATGTTTTGATGGATTGCATTAAATATGCAACTAAAAGAGAGAGGATGAGGAAAGTAATTATGAAAAAAGGGAGAGAATGGAGTGTTAAAGGAATTTTAGAGACAGATGGAGATATCGAGGAAATTTTGGTTAATAATAAAGCATTGTTTTTATTTTTACATAACAAAAATAAAAAATAGAATATAGTAGGTGGAACTACAGAGCTACACACTGATGTACAGTAGGTGGCGGTATGCACCTATAAGTTGTTTGCAATCCGCTAATCTAACAAAGAAGAAGACGAAGAGCTGCGCATGCGTACAGCAGCATCTCTGCAAATCGACGCGGAAGAATCCTGGTTATAAACAACACCTCCGCGATATTACCGCTAAACTTGTTCTAGAAAGTCGCAGTCGCTTTATTTTAACTTAAGGTTATATTTTTTATACAACGTTTGCTTTAACTGTTATAGCTTCTGAAGAAAAAATATGGTTGCCGCTTCTTTTATTTTTTTGTAAGTCGTTCTGCCTGAAAAACGTCGTCAGTAAAGTGTAGCAAGCTCCAGGGAAGCTGAAGAAAATGCCAGCTCGGAATATTGTATCCCATGATACTCCTAACAGCAAAATTAGATACTCCAGGTTAGCCACAGATGATGATGGCTATATTGATCTACAGGTAAGACGTGGCGAGGCGAGGGCTCATCTCGTGTTTTTGGGAGAAATAACAATGCTTATCATATAAATAATAAATACATAAATTGAACTTTATTGATCTCACAATAGAGATATGTACCGCTGCATTTACCCCATTCCCTTGGGAAGCAGTGGGCTGCTACTGTGCAGCGCTTGGGGCGCAGTGTGGGGTTAAGGGTCTTCCTCAGGGACCCAGACTGGAGGCTGTTTGGATCGAACCTGGTACTTGCAACCTTCTCACAGAGCAAAATTGCACTGCTCTAATTGTTAGGCCAACACTCCCTTGAAGGTTGCAACAAAAATATCCGGTCTGAAGACAGGACATTGTTAAAAAGATAAGTTCCCAATTTCCTGCCGAAACCCGGGATCGATCCAGGGACCTTTAGATCTTCAGTCTAACGCTCTCCCAACTGAGCTATTTCGGCGGGTGCCATCAGAAATGTCTAAATTCAATAATGATGTCAAGAGCTTCATGAAATACAAGAAACTTTCTTTATTGTCTTTTGAATTTACTAAGGTTGCATATCTCTTCCATTATTATTCATTCGTTTACCTTAATTTTTTTAAATATTTTTTTTATATATATTTTTGTGGCCAATTTTTGGTTGCAAAGGAGATATTTGATCCCCAATCCTTCAGCTATAAGTTAGATAACTTAAAAGATAAATGTTAGAGATTAGCCTATACAGACAAAAGAATAACGAAGCGATTAAAAAAAACGAAGCAAGAGAGGATATTATAAGTTATGAAGTAAAACACAGTAACCTTTAGTTTCTTTCATTTTGAAATAATTGATCAAGTAAGTTGGAAAGACAAAGTATCAAGCTTGTCTAAGGGATAAATAGATACGGTTTCATTATCGGCACATATTGTCATAAAAGACTTATTCAGTATTACACTGTAAAAATGTATCCGGAAAAAAAAGTTAAAGTTTCTTAAACTCCATTTGTATTTCGCCCTTAATTTGAGGAGGTTAATTTGATGATTGACCAAAAGAAGAAGGGTTTCAGCCCTTTAAACAAAAGTAGTTAGATGCTATGCACTTGAAATAATATTCTTTTTTTTTTGTACATACAAATTATCTCAAATGTTCTGATCTACGTGCTTAAATAGATGTAATATACACCTATTTCCAGAAAAATATACTTAGCTTACAGTTTGTGTTTACTGTGTAGAGGCTGCAACAGGGGCCAGGGCCAGTTCTACATGGCCCCCCGTATAGAACAGCCCATGTTACAACCTACAAATCTTAAAATTAACTTCTTTGAATATGGTGTTGTGTGTAAAACTTAGAAAGAAGAGATTCATCTGAGACCATTTGTGTCAGGTTTTGTGGAAGTTGGTTGAGGACCGCAGTGCAGAGACGAGTTTTGCTGATGAGGGTTCCAAAGGTGAAAGAGGCAAATTCAACGAACTAAAAATACAGGAAACCAAAAAAACAGGAGATTCCAGAGAGAGACAACACAGGGAAACAAAGCAATGAAAGGAATCCAGTACTGATGAACTGCAGAGGAGGTTAATATATGGAACACAGAACTAGGAGTAATCTGTTAATTTGGAGCAGGTGTGGACAGAAGCACATAGAAAGGAGCCAAGGGGAAAAAACTAAACAGAGAGTAACACAAAAACACAACACTGCTATTAAAAACAACCACAAAGACACAAGATTATAGTGAAACTAAAAAGAAACCCAAACAAAGGGCAGAACCCTGACAATTTGAAATAAGGCAGTAAAAATAAATATGTAGACTCAAGATAGTCCTACATTTTAAACTTTGTGAGACTAATCCAACTACTTAAATCAAAACCTTCACTGAACATGTATCTTCATAATCCTCATGTAACATGACCGATAGACCTCTTATAGATTTTTTGCTGCTGTCGCTTTAGAAGCCAGTTCATGTTTTCCAGTAATACCTGCTTGTCTTGGGGCAATGTTTTAAACATAGCTGACTTTCTGCTACATAAAGGTTTTGATTGCCAATTTCTCTCCCTCTGCAGTTCAAAAAGAGCCCACCCAAGGTCCCGTACAAAGCAATCGCCCTCGCCTCAGTGCTCTTTCTAATCGGCTCAGTCTTAATCGTCATTGGTTCTCTTCTTTTGGCTGGATATTTTGGAGTTACCGTGAGTTATATTCATAAATAGACCTTTCATGGTAAGTTTGTATTGATTTTACATGCAATAATTTAAGTAAATATTTTCTTCTGCATGTTTCAGCACTCTGACCGAACAGTGCCTGTCCTGATCATCGGCATCATTGTCTTCTTGCCTGGAATTTACCATTTACGGATAGCTTACTATGCATCAAAGGGCTATCCAGGGTACTCCTATGATGACATCCCAGACTTTGATGACTAACCCATAACAAAGCTTCAGCTGCAGCCTGGCTACACCTGCATGTGTTCATGTATCGCTTGCAGTTTAAAGTGGTTAAAAAAAAAGCTTAAGGACGAATCATCTTTAATAAATCCGTGTTTAGATTTTTTTTTCTAGTTAGTATGCGATTCTTTATTTTAATAAATTATCAAAATAATCCTTTATGTATTTGTGCAAGGTCTTTTTTCAGCGTATCTATCTTTTTATTGGCAATGAATTTCACCTAAAAAATTTGATTATTTGAGATGTTTGAGTGACAAATGTCAACCTTTTTAAAAACAAAAAGAAGCGATGTATCACTTTAGAATCCTGGGCTAGTTTGGTCTGTAATATGCTTATGTATTTATAAGCTCAAGAGAACTGTTTTCTACACTATGATCCTTTGTGTTTATCAGCTAAAGCTTGCCTAGTTTTTTTTCTTGGAGGATTTCATGTGATTAATTCAGATCCTTTGATCTCCATATGGTGCACCTGGTCCCTCTGAGTCAGCATTATCAAACAGAGGGCTACTAAAGCAATTACAAGCCATCCCCCTGTCTGATCTCTGCTATCCACTTATAAATATCCATGATTTTGAAACAAACCAATGAAAGACTGAACCTATTTTCATTCGCAGGAGATCAAAATCATGTAAAAAATGTTGCTGTAAAGGTTGAACTTTAATAATCCCTTCAGATGTGAGGCGACCTGCTGCTTTCCAAAGGGTTAATTCAAAGATGCTTCCTTGCTATTAATTGCAACCCCTCGGAACAATTACTAAACCAACCATACCTGGTATTAGTCGGATCGGATTATTCTCCGTAAATCAGCTCAGGAACTTTTTTTTCAACAGAAAGGACTTTTTTTTATTTATCACTAACAAAACACCTCTTAATGATAACCATGTCACTTACTAAATCAGCTGCATTTATACATGTGTGCCAAATAGACACATTAAAGTAGGTTAGATACACAAAAGTAGACAAAAGACAAGATTTGGAGAGCTTAAATTGACATTAAAAAACACAACCAAATAACAGCATTATAGAAATAAATTGTATATAATTGCTATGATTTTACTTGTTTTCTTTGTTCTATTTATAATATACCTTCAGTTTTATAAATTGGAGTATTAGAAATGGTAAAAGATAAAAGTTTTCACCTTTTTTGCTTGATAACCTATAAAAAGTGGATAAGACCGCTAAGGTTAGTTAGAAAGTGTAGATACTTGAAAATATCTGGAATCTTTTTTTTTCTTTTTCCTGAATTTTATTTTATTTTTTGAGGATTTCCACTATGTACACAACAATATGGCAGGCATTTCAGTTAACTGTTAGAGCAGCAGGTGCATAGAAGAATAATATTAATGCACTAGAGAATATCAGCACAAGATATCAAAGAAAAAAATTATTAGGATAAGAAAAATATTAGAGCTTGTATTGCAGATCTTTTTTTTTTTCAAGAATATTGAAAAGTTTAACTGTTTTCCATAAGAGAGAAGAGTTATAGTTTGATCTTTGTATGTAACCAGTCATGAATATCCGTCCAAAGCTTCAAGGATTATGCATTGATAAAACAAATGATCAGAGCTTTCAAAATAATAATAAAAAAATATTTGTTTCAATATCAAATCTCTGTTGTAACATTCACAGCGTTTAAAATTTTTAAGCAAATTTCTCTCTTTTGGATTTAATTTTTCCAAAATCCCCTCTGCATTCCATCCATACTTGCTTCTCTGGTTTTAGTTCAGCAGGGTTGTTTCTGGCATATTACCGCCACCTAGTGGTGATATTCCTGGGTCCTGATTGGTCACTTTGAATGAATACCGCGCCTGCAGTGAACCTTTAAATACAGCTTCATAACTTCCTCTGAAATGTATCTTATTAAAGGGGAGCTCTGCAACAATAACAAGGTGAGATCATAAAAAACGGGTTACAAATACATTTATTTTAGTCAACGGAAACAATGCTAAATTACAGAATGTTTAAACCGTCATGCTAGCCTGACTTTGGCATTTAGCTAATCAGTTTTTCTGCATATGAAAAAATGAGAAGGAAACGTCGGAGTAACCTGTAAGACTAGATGGTTATTGATGTATTTGTCTATTTGAATATTATAACTGTTTGGCTGGCTAAAACTCGTTGTTCAAAACATCCATCCATCAATTTTCTCCCGCTCAGCCATTGTGAGGATCGCGGCGGGGCCGGTGTCCGGTCCGCTACGGGCGAGAGGCGGGTTTACCCGGGACAGGTCACCGGTCTGTCGCAGGGCTCATTCAAAACTGTGTCCTCAAAATTTAGAAATTAAAGAATGTGCATTTTGAATAAAATATAGCAAAAATAACCTCAGTGATAATATGCTAAGCATGTTATGAAGCAGTATTATAAATATATAAGAATGTAAATAGGAGCACGTTAGTCAAAGGAAGCTACTAATACATCATAATTCACCAGTAAATGTAAAATATTTACTTGTAGACCCTGGCAGAAATATATTGACACCTGCTATAGTGGCAGCGAGTTTCCTATTGTTTCAGTCACCAGTCTATCCCACCCAAAGGCGTTTTTGTGTGAGGCGCTAAAGTGCCACCTTCGGCAAGTTATTGGGCGAAACTGGGTTTATTACCGGAAATAGATGTTTACCCTTTCAAAATAAACGTTTTTTTATGTTGCAGAGAACTATATTTTTCCCCATTAGAACTATGCTTACTACTAAATAAATGTCTGGTTAATTTGAATTTGCAAATAGTTTGGCTCTGGTAGACCTTTACTTTAAGTTACAAAAAAAAGAGAAAAAAGTAAGCATTTAGTAATTTTGCTTATGTTCCCTCCACAAAAAGCCCATTAAGAAAAACATACTCTAAAGCATTTTTGCCAAGGTCTATGTTATTTTTTAGTAGATTCTCAGTAAGTGTCTCAGCAAGTGTAAAACAATATATATATATATATATATATATATATATATATATATATATATATATAT